ACACACACACACACACACACACACACACACACACACACACACACACAGACAGACAGAGACGAGAGAGACAGAGAGACTGAGAGACAGACAGAGAGAGACACAGAGAGAGACAGAGAGATAGAGACAGAGAGAGAGACTGAGAGAGAGACAGAGAGACAGAGAGGGAGACAGAGAGACAGGGAGGACAGCAACACAAAATCCCCCTAATAATCTATTTTAAAATGGGCAAACAATCTGAATAGAAATTTCTCAAGAAAAAAGCTTACATATTTCTTTTAAAACTGTCAAACTTGTTAAACATACTATTTAAACCATGAACTGAGTGTGAATTCTTATCTTGTTTTTGACTGAGAAAGGAGCAAGGAACAGAATAAAAGTAAAAAAGCAAGAGATGTCAGAGAAGTCCTGAGTCTGTGACCATCCTCTAACTAGAAGCAGCCAAAGGTCCTTTTCTGGACAGGGTGATTTGGGTCTTACTAACATGTTCCCTCTCTGAGCTGTGCCACCACGTCGTTGACTGCTCCTTTCTGGAGGTCTCTGCCTGCACAGCGGATGCTGGAACAAATGCTGGCTGACTCGCAGTCCCCTTTAAACCCCAAAGAAATATTAATTCAGACAGTAATCCTTTAACCCTTGCAGTGACCTATGCCTTAGGGTGTATTTCCAGAAGCAAAGCTTAGTAAGACTTGGGAGCAGCGATTCCTTGTGAGAATCTCCCAGGCAGAAAGGAGTGAGAAAAGGGAAGGTTGTTATGCCGGCACCGTGAGCCCCGCAGAGACCAGCAGTTTGTAAGCGAATGCCAAGAACCTTTACTGCGAGCTGGAGCTTGGACTCTCTGTCCACTGCCACGCAGCGGTTGGATCGGGGAGAGGATTGAGCTCAGCTAGGGCAATGTTTTTAAGGAGCAAAGGATTGGGGAAGGGGAAGGGGAATTCCGGATTCAGATGGGTAGAGTGAGGTAACAGAGGTCTTGCCAAACAGGGAATGGAAGTTGGCCACCTATATACAAGTTAGGTAAGCTTTTTTTAATGTTCTGGAGCATCTAGTACTTGTTTGTCTCAATTCTGATCGCTCCCCGCAGGGTATAGTCTGTGGCTTTTACTTGCTATTATAATGGTTCTAGTCCCAGTACTGTTAGTCTGTAACCTGTCATGGCTTCACTGATGTTACCTTAGGCCTCTTCAGGGTGAAAAGTTAAACACTTCTGATGTGGGATCCTCCTCTCTATGCTATGAATATGTTTTACTGCCATTGGTTAATAAAGAAGCTGCTTTGACCTATGGCAGGGCAGAATATAGCCAGGCTGGAGGAGCTAGAGAGAGAGAGAATAGGTAGAGCCAAGAAGATGCCATGTAGCTGCCAAAGGAGAAAAACGCCAGTCAAAACCTTACTGGTAAGCCACAGCCTTGTGGCGATATACAGATTAATAGAAATTAGTTAATTTAAGATGCAAGAGCTAGCCAGGAATATGCTTAAGCTATTTGCCAAACAGTGTT